TCTTGGTTTTCTCATCAGCAAAACCAGGAAACTAAAATGTTAATTGCTTAGTACCAGGCACTAAATTTAGTACTAGTTTAGTACCAGTAAGTATGCAATAAATGGAAGAAACTATTATTATCGTTGCCACTACTATTATTCTTAAAAGCGTTGTATTCTTAATATAGAAAAAAATTTGAAAATTAGTTTGAGATATATGGCTACTTTAGAAATGGTTCTGGTCCAGGTGTGGTGGCTCACATCTGTAATCCTAGCATTTTGGTAGGCTGAGGCAGGAGAATCACTTGTTGCCAGGAGTTCAAAACTAGCCTGGGCAACATAGTGAGACTCCAATCTCTACAAAAAATAAAAATAGTGGCTAGGTGTAGTGGTGCACACCTGTGGTCCCAGCTACTTGGGAGGTTGAGGCAGGTTCTCCTTGAACCCGGGAGATGGAGGCTGCAGTAAACTATGATCGTGTCACTGTGCTCCAGCCTGGGCAACACAGTGAGATCCCATCTCTTAAAAAAAAGAAATTGATCTGTAACCAATCATTCCAGCTGAGAATCTGGAATGATCGGTCCCATTTCCCTTAAGTCCCTAGGGATTACATATAACAAGTTAAAAATTGTGGTTATTTATGTCTACCTTTAACATGTATTTATTGTTTGATGCTCAAGCTATAGCAGGTGCTTAGATATAGGATTTCTTCCTCAGCTACTAGACCATAACTAGAGAAACTTTGCATCATGTATGGATGACTCTTCTGTGGGTCTGACATACCAGTGCTTTTACTGGCCCAAACGGCTGTTTTCTAAAACTGCTTTCCAGAAGCAATCTAGCCTGTAGTCATCTCTATCTACATTTCATAAATATCTTTGCCCTTGTAAATAGACCTTTAAGTACATTTGAAGGTCTAATTTAGATGATAAACGTGTTCTCTCTATTATTTGTTCAAGTTTAAGAACTAATTCTTCTTAGTAATAAGTTTCCTCCATCTAAAACAGACTGAATGGATTGGAAGTTGCCCACACATTTTTTCTTGGAAAATTGTATTTGTCGCTCCACCCACTCTAAATTCACATTTGTGAGGTGCTAAATAAGTCACATATTTGAAAATGTCATGCCTGTCTAATTTTATGCCTGGCAACACATGTTTTTTTTCTGTATTTTAAGGAAAGTAAACAATATGCCACATTTCAAAAATGTTGCCAAGTCTTACGTTATTGTTATGTAGCACACACAACCTTCCATTACAGCAATTTACCTATATAATTTCATAATAAAACTACATACTTTTCATTTCTATGGCATGTAGGAAGGCTGGATACAAATAGCTGCACTTGATCTTGCATAAATATAATTAATGTCAGAAGAGAAATTCTTACTTATCTCTTTTGCTATAGAATGAGTGAAACTATGGGACACAGAATTAGAATATGTGTTTGACAATCACAAGAGTGAAAATATAACTATTACTAGGAAATCCAAGTAAAAAACCTACTTTACATCAAGATAATTATCAAAAACATTTGAACACATATAAAGAAGAGCTTATTTTAGAGAACCACATTTGACATGTCCCTAAATGTGAACTGTTGACTCCTCCGTGGTAAGTTGCATCAGATAAACTTAGCTTCATCTCAGTCCTGTCTATCAGGTAGTATTTATTTTCCTACAAGTATCAATTTTCTGTCTATGTGCTGCTGGTTTCCTCTGTTACTTTTTTTAAGTGACCTTTTCATATTAAAATTTAAGATAGTGTTTAAAATCTATCATTCTGCTTCTTTCCTTCATTTATTCAAGAGCTATCTGAACACATTCCCCAACACATTCCTCTCCCAGGAAATGAGAGCACTGCCACCCAGGTAGTCAAGCCAAATAACTAGAAGTCATCCTTAATTTAGACCCTCTCCCTGAGAATCAGCATACACCATGTCCTGCCAGTTCTACCTTCAAATAGATCCCAACCCTTCACTTCCCTCCATCCTCACCACCACCTGCTACTCTGGGCCACCTGCATCTTCCTCATCAGGCTATTGCAGAAGCCTCTAGAAGGGTCCTCCTTCTCCCATAATTCACTCCATTCTCTGTCTCCAACCATGCTCCACTAGCAGAGAGTGTGATCTTTTAACACCTACATCAGATCACACCTATGTTCTGTTTCAATTACTCAGTTTCCACCCTTCCCCTTGAACCTGAACAGGCTAAGCTTATCTGATGCAACTTACCACGGTGGAGTCAACAGTTCACATTTAGGGACATGTCGAATGTGGTTCTCTAAAATAAGCTCCTATTTATATGTGTTCAAATGTTTTTAATAATTATCTTGATGTAAAGTAAGTTTTTTACTTGGATTTCCTAGTAATAGTTATCACGTTTGTGATTGCACCCATTGTGCCCTCTTCCTGGGAGGTCCTTTTGCTACATGTTTTCATTCACAGGTCTCAAATCTCAGGGTCTTCTGCTCCACTCACTCACTATTATCTTCTTCACGGCACTTATAGCTATTTATTATTTTTTAGAGCAATTTTAGGTTTACAGAAAAACTGAGCAGAAAGTACTGAGTTCTCAGGTACTCTCTCTCCTACCTCTCCAGTTTCCCTTATATTCACATCTTACTTTAGAGTGGTACATTTATTACAATTGAGGAACCAATGTTGATGTATTACTATTAATGAAAGTCCATAGTGTAGATTAGGGCTCACCCTTCCTGTTGTACATTCTATGGGCTTTGACAAATCCATAATGCCATGCACTCACTATTATAGAACACAGAATAGTTTTGCTGCCCTAAAATCTGTTGTTCTCCACCTAATCATCCTCTCTCCTCCCCAACCTCTGGCAACCACTGATCATTTCCCTGTCTCTACAGTTTTGCCTTTTTCATAATGTCATATAGTTGGAAACACACAGTATGTTCATGATTTGATTTTAAAAAATTAACTTAATTATCATCTGTGCCTCTGGCTAGAGTAAAGACTTCAAGAGAACAAGAGCCTTATCTTTTGTTTTCTCCTTTGTCCACAGTGCCAACAACAATCAGTCCCGCGGTGGATATTCTACAGGAATTGGTTGATTGAATGAATCTACAGACTAACCCAGCAGAGAGCAATTACCTGTACTTTTGAAATGCTCCTCTCTTGATTTGTTCTAATAACTTTGGAGCGGAATTACCTAGGTTTCTGACTTTTATGTTGGTGTTTTGCAAATATTGGGAAAGGAAGAGTGGTCCCCTAGCCCCCTGGTGGTTGAGGGTGGGGCTACTATAGGTCCTTTTGACACAGGAGACCACAGGAGGATCAATGTAGGGATTTCTGTAGTCATGTTGGATATATGGGCACTCTCTGGGTTAGAAATGCAGAATCTGAAACATATCTTATGCGGTCATAGCAGGTTCTGCTCTGCCCCTCTCCACTCTTTAGTACTCAAAGGGTGCAAATGAATCTGCTTTCTCACTTTCCCCCTTTTATCTTTGCCTTTGCTCTTATCACATACATTATCCCCTAAACAATCTACGTTTTTATCACTCCCTACCCCTTTCTATTCTCTTCCTCCTTCCATCCTTTTTCATCTGTGAAGCAGAAAAACACCCTAATTGTGAATGACAGGAGAGGGAACAGCACTTGAGATTTCCTGTATTAAGGAAAGAAGAGCTACATATTTTAAAGTGTAATTAACCATAACAAGGAACCACACTCTTTAAAACAGTAAGGAATGCCCAGAAGTCTCTACCACAATTTCCATAAAACCTCCAACCTTTTTCATTAAAATTCTTTTTCCTTAATCTCCACCACTTAAAATATAATAATTTATTTTCTTACTCAATTCTTAAATTATTCTTTGTTTATCGAGTCACAATGTTTAGAAATTTTCTTTCTTAATGCCTGACCCATGGGAGATTCCTCTGAGTTCCCTATGATGGAAGCTTTAGGATGTTCTTGCTACTTCCTATATTTTGGACTCTAGGAAACATGTCCATTTTTATCCTGTTTAAGGTCTTACATGTTTCACATCCTTCAAATTTAGACTTATGCAGCCTCCGTTTTTCCAGACTAAGCCCTAATCTTTCTAACAGAAACTCCTTCCCAGCAGGGGGAGCACAAATGAACAAAATTCAATAAAACACTTTGCAACACTATTGATGTGGATAGAATAAGTAGCATGATGTCCTTTTAGGGGGTATTTAAAAACTAAGAAAGAAGCATTTTTTAAAATTAAAAAGAACATAGCATCTAGGAAAAAAGAGACAATAAAATCTATCTGTGAATTTCAGTTATGAGACATCATAAAATTTTCAAAAGAATAGAAAAATCTTATCATTCTACTTGAAAGATAACCGTTAACTCATTCAATACCAAAGAGCGTTGCCTAATTTAGCAGGACAGGTTTATTTCGGGTTCTATTTCTTTTTTCAACTAGAAATATGCTTTTAAGGGCTACACGATGTTACTTCTAGAGCTCTTGCTGGGTATACATTTATACTTTTATACTATTTATCCACCTAAAAATTAGTTGACATCTAATTTTGCCCTTAAGATTATAATCACCTCCTTTTCATAGAATGCTTTCAAGGCCTTTTAAAAATAAGGAAATCAACCATTCCTTTAAAGAGTAATCTTGTCCCAAAGACATACTTCCTTTTTTAAATTTTTCCTGAGTTCCATAAAGATGATATAAAAGGAGAAATAAAGGAAGCCCAAAGTGTGCCCATGAGACTATAATGACTTTGAGGGCTTCAGGGACCTCAGTAAATCACTTTTTAAGGCTTCATCCTCAGGGCTGATCAAGTTACTAAAAACTTCATTGCAATTACAGCCATATTGTTCAGGTCAGCATCCCTCACCCCAAAGGCTTTCCTTTAGCAATCACTCTGCTGTCAGATGGGAAATATTCCCAACCTCACAGGATCATAGTCTTGCTTCTGCTCTCAGTCTTTTTAGCACTCATCTGGCAATGCATCCAATAATATTAAGCAGTGGACTCAGCAAAGGATAATATATACAAAGAAGCAAACTTACCATCAAACACGTTACTATAATAACAAAGATGCTGAGAAAAATGACAACAGCATAAAATCCTTCTTTGCTCCAGATTTTGTCCGCTTCATGTTGCCCTTGTAAAACATTTTTCTTTAAAAGCAAAACAGAAAGTCCGACGTTAAATGAGAGCTTGAGGAAACTGGCGTTCTTATCAGACACTAAACATATTTTTAGCTTTATTCCATTCAGTGTAGTGGAACACACCTACACCCCCCGCTGCCAGAGCTGCTTCTCAAACTGCTCTGAGACAACAGACTGCCATCCTTGTACGTCAAGAGATTATTTAGTCGCCTGGACAGGAACAAACGTGCCTGGCACCCTCAGGTCCCAGGCTTCCTAAATGTCCCTCACCATCTCTCTTGGAAACTACCTGGTTCATAGGTAAGAGGGTTCTGTTCTGTTCTGTGCAGAGGAAATTGTTCCTGCAGCTTGCCTTACTGTTTTAAGTCCCCTCCCACAACATCAACACCCCGGATTACGTGTTGCAATACTGCTCTTTACTTTTAAACAAAAGTGAAACAGGTGCAAACAAAAGCTCATGATGCATTAATAAACAGCAACAATGCCAGAATCATTTCTTTCTTTTCTTCCTCCCATTTGTCACATCTTTTTTTTTCTTTTAAAATGGAATCAACTTTGTCAAAATCCGATTAAAGTACCATCTCAACCATATAAATCGTTAGAATTGTGTGTATTTTTTTAAGTAACAGAGAACACCCCAAAGCTCAACATTATTTGGTAATAAATGGAAAAGGAACAGATTTGTTTTTATTTGTATCACTTTTGTTCACTACTTTGAGGGTAGAAGAGTAAGAGAAGAGGCAGAAATAAAATGTGAATGAGTCTCTTAGTTTTATTTAATCCATTTTCTAAAAAAAACATGTTGATTAAAATCAAATCTTAGAATAAAATTGTTTTATAATATAGTGACAGTATAGATTCATAGTTAATGAAACTTTAACTTGAAACCAAATGGTCCAGGATTAGGAAAAACATATAAAGGCTAAATCAAATCAAATGCTTTCCACTCATTCAAAATCCACTTTTTTGAAGCCTGCCTTTTTATTTCCATTAGGGAGGTTGTGTATCTGTCTTTGGATATTGTCTCCAGTGATTAAGAAAGACTTGAGTAAAACATGTCTTGTAGGTGTCTGAATTTTCAAATCATTGCTACCTTATTTTTTAAGCCTGAGAAAAATAAAACACATACAACATTTATAAATCAGACAAAAATAAATATTTTCCTCAAAAAATATTTTATGAAAACTTTCATCTTAGAACTCAAGAATGTATTGGTAGGAAGATGAGAAAGGCAGAACAGAGAAAGATCTGTGAATTCAATTGTGATTGCAAAAATTATTTGGAGAAACACTCTTACTAATTTCTTAAAGTGGTCAAGTTTCTATTTCCTTTACTTGTAAAACATTGATGTGCTCACTAGAATATCTGGCTTATTTTCTAAGACATAGACAGATACATAGATACAAGAAATGATTTAGAAATATACTTCTAAAATATGTAAATAGTAAATTGATGGAGAATCTGAAAATACTTGATTGATGAAATGATTACAAACCAAGTATTCTGTCGGAAAGGAAATTTGGGGTTCAAGAGAATAATGTTCTTGTATCTCTTTGGCCTCAATCAGATCATTTTTTTGTTTCGATATCTCTATAAACATAGCTGGAAACTAATAGAAAAGAAAACTCTTGTAGAAATCAGGTATAAATATGGAAATGAATTTTTTTTTTTTGCAGGCAACTAAATAGCATCCATTGTTTGCTATAAAAGCAAACTAGTTAAGCCTTCAAGTAGGCAGCATAAATTTGTCAAATTTAAGTATAAGGATCTGAGCTTAAGCTCATGTAAAATTTGGATAAAAAGGGGTGGTTAGGTGGGTGGAAAGAGATTTTGTGTTCCTAACCTGATTTGGTTCATTTCTTTTTTTTTCCTTGCTGTAGTTCTGCAACTCCTGTAATATCAACATGTTCCTTTCTGCTCAAGACAAACCTGTTTTGTTTTCTTTTTTAACTGAAGCAGAGATGATGAAAGAATTAACCTCCCACCCTCCCATCCCCCACTCCTAGTTAGAAAGACACATGTTTTGAACTCCTAGAACTTAGTCACTGCACTTTCTTGGTAAATAGATTTCTTTCTGAGTCATGCTGCTCCTGCTGAGCACTACTATATTTGTACAGAGATCTAAAGAACTTGATAAGGGAAGGGTAGTAAATGGAAAAGTTTGTAGTTAAGATCCCACAAATCAAAAGGCTATAATTCATAAGAATCTTCAATCTAACCTTGCATAGGGTTAACCTTATGCTTTTTATATTTTGTCAGGGGGCTGAGTGTTCAATAATTTAGAGGCTCTGTGGTCAGGTCAAGCTAATGCCACTGTATTGTCTTTATGTCTTATTTCATAGCCACATCACTTTGCCCTTTAACTTAGTTGCAGTGAAAGAAACCGATGGGTTTCATTTTGTTTTATTATTTAAAATTTGGGCAGTTTCCTCTATAGACAACAATAGCTTCTCTATATCTTGTTTAAGAATTTTTGTATTACCGTGTATCTATCCTTTCTTTCTTTCTTTCTTTCTTTCTTTCTTTCTTTCTTTCTTTCTTTCTTTCTTTCTTTCTTTCTTTCTTTCTTTCTCTCTCTCTCTCTCTCTCTTTCTTTCTTTCTTTCTTTCTTTCTTTCTTTCTTTCTTTCTTTCTCTTTCTTTCCTCTCTTTCTCTCTTTCCTCTCTTTTTTTCTCTCTTTCTCTCTTTCTTTAACCTATTCTGATCCCAAATGCTGGAGGAGATCCTGAATGCTAGGAGAGATGATAAGGAGATAGAGAGGCTTTTGGAGACGTATCTCTTTAGGAGAGATGAAGCCTCTGCAGAATAAGAATGAAGTGGAGATGTTATAAATTATATGGTTAATTTGATTGACTTAGGCAAATAAATGAGATGTATCCCGTAACAACATGGCTTTGTTGAACAAATGCCAAACTTCCACTGTGTTGTACACAGGTGAACAATTGGTCTGAAAGATCTAAATCATGTTAACATAGGTTGTATATGAACTATATGGCTAGGGCTGTAAGTCTTTAGACTAGACTGTGGGCTAGTATTCCTAGCTTGAAGGGGCAACCACCAAAGTCATGCATTATGGTATGTATTTATATGTTAGGGTTTTTTCTCTTTGTAAATGTTCCATGACTATACCAGTCAGCTCATGGGTCTGTTATTTATAGAAGGTAACTTCCTTCTTTGAAATATAAGACCCATGAAACTAGAGTGATTTGCAAGTGAATGACAAAAAATTTCCTAAATCATTTTTCCAATATCAACACAGAACTTATTGTTTCAAAAGATATTTAATTCATTCTGTAAAAACATTTATGAATAGAAATTAAAATAATGAACTTAATTTTATTCCCTGGGATTTTACTTATTAGGCAAGAGGAGGTCTACTTTTATCTTTATAAGCATCTTATAATAAAATAATACTTGAGTACCTACAATACCCTAGGTACCATATAAAAATATATGAAAGAAATAATGGCTTTTCCCTCAAGCAACTTAGAAACAAAAATAGATGGTTAAACAGAAGTAATTTTCTATTTGCTGTTTTTCTTTGTTTCTCAAGAGTCATTTTCAATTAAAAAAAATGAAGCATATAAAGAAACAACAACAAAAGACATATCCTTCTGTGAAAGTAATTAACATACATTTAGGAAGAGCTGCTTTGTGATATCATTCACAATGTTCTGTAACCCATGTAGAGGATGAAAAGCCAAAATACCAATATTCCTTTTTTCCTGTTAATGAACATGTTACCATAGCATGTTATAATTTTAAGATTAAAATGTGAAAGAATGCATTGAGGCATAAGTAGTTATAAACCATTAACCACAAAAAAGATGAATAAGGACATGGGGAAACTCACAGAATGCCGTTAACCAGCTTTATCAAGAAATGATTTTGCAGTGTTCCTTTGGGCTGTATCTGTACCATGTAGCCCCCCACTGGGGTGCCTGCTCACTACAGAGAGCTTTTCCCTGTTTCTGCATTTAGAGCTTCCAGTAAAAAATCAAAGGCCAAAGGGTGATGTTTGGCCTCTTTCTAGGAGTGCCTGAATAAAAGGTTCAAACAATCCATTTGTCCTTGATGAAATGCTCCTTATATTCTATTCTTGTAATGTATATTTCTAGATTCTACATTTCTAGATTCCAACAATTTTATGAGAAACTATCACATTCTGACTACCATGCTCCAGTGGAGTACAGGCCTTGTGTGCCAATAGCTCTCTGAGGGGCAGTTAAGCAAAGCACCTTACTTTCACTGAGCTGGGGTGTGTTGGGGGGCCCCAAGTACTTGATTTTAAGTAGTTCCTTTTTTCATGGTGAACTTCTCATGGTTTGCAAATCTGGGTGACTCCATAAATGGTCGTATTCCTACAGCCTTCAGAATGGCCTTTAAACTCAGAATAAAGCAACGGGGAAGAATGCTTGTATTATTCTCTAAAAGTTCATGGGAAGCAGAATACATTAATCCAATGGTCTTTTTAAAATTTAAAGAGGGATTGTCCTAAGCAAGATGTATGCTAGTCAGTCGGTAAGGGGCTTAAACTGTGGGAATGGGGTTTGGTTTGGCATAAAGCGGAGCTGCTTCAGGTTCAGACAGGCAGGGCTGGGGTGGGGTCTAGATGGTTAAGCTCCTGCTGACCTCCCCTGGCCTCTCTGAAGCACCAGGGGTCTCTTCAAGGCTTTCATGGTGCAGTATAGCAACTTTATCATAGTCCAATGGACTTGTTATTTGTTTGTATTTTATTTGCTCTATTAGAGCATAGATTCATTGAGAGCAAGAATTACATTATCTATTTTTTTTCTTGTTTATTTGTTTATTTATTTGATTTTCTGGCTTTGGGTACTACCTAGTGCAGTCCTTGGCTATTTGTCATCTCAGTTTTTTACTGTGTACCCATTGCATGCTAAGCACTAAATGAAGGCAAAGAAGACACAGATAAAATGGCATGTCCCATGCTTTTGAGGAACCCACAGTGTAGAGAACTTGAAGACCAAGTTCTTCCTGAAGACCAAGAGAACTTGAAGACCAACATGGGTTGAGGGTTTTTTGTTCTAAGCTCGATGGGAACACAAAGCAATTTGCACCCACAGCTGTGGAGGCATGAGGGCAGGCTTTGCTATACAGTACGGTAATCTTGAAAAATGAAAGTTGTGTAGGAGGATCAACATGTACAAAATCATGGAGGGAGGAGACGGTACGGAGGTATCATGATATCTATTAAGTTTAGATTTGCTGAAACATAAACTAGGAAAGTGTTGTCCAGAAGTTATAAAAGCTAGCATACAAAGGGCCATATACCATACTAAGATTCCTAGATTTTATTCCGTAGGACTTTGGAAGCTAAAGAATCATGAAATTAGGAGGGCATGGCCAGATTTATATTGAGAACGATTACTCTGGTGGCAAGAAACAAAATACATTGGGTGTGTTGGGCTGAGGGGAACTGGGAGAGGAGCAAAACACCAATTAGGGGCTGTTGCAGCAGTCACAGCTCAATGATAAAATATATTCCCAGTCTGCCAATCCATTCTGCATTTAAATTACATTTGTTTGGCACCTATTCTATGTGAGGAATTCCACATATATCTAAAAAAAATAATTCATATTCGAAGTCTATAAGATGAGAACCATACCCATTTTGGATATGAAGAAACTGAGGCTCAGAGATGTTGATACTATACAGACAATCTCACCGAGATTAAATGGGCTACCCAAGGTCACACAATCCTACATGGTGGCTTTGGGATTCAAACTCAGTCTTACAGCAAAGCTTTCTATGCCACACCTGTGATATTTGCTGCAGTGAGAGTTAGAGTTATTTACTTGAAAGGAGAATAGACTAGGAATCAAGATATCTAGATTTCAAATGTTGCTGTATACCTCTCTTGTTTTATCACCTTGTAGGAGTCACTTAATTTCCATGGGCATTAGGTTCTGTATCCACAAAATGTTCGAATATGTTCCCTTGAGGTCTAATTCCATGACTGAATTGAGTTACATATATTTAGGATGATAATCCTTCCAGCAAGCTTGTTAGAGTGGGATGGAGTAGGAGAAGTGGAAAGGGAACTAAATTCACTCAGGAGCGAGATGGTGGAGGTGGTAGAAGAAATTTTTAAAATGTGCCAAATTTGGAAAATACTATGAAGAAAATATCCATAGATGTTAAGACTTGTTTCTTCAGCAAAAGAAAGATCACATTTCAAATTAGTTCCAAAGTTGTGGGAAAAGGTGAATATCTGGTGAATATTTTATAAAAGAAGGCAATGAGGAGGGGTACACCTGATAAGGAGAAAATTTTGAAGGTTTTTTTTGTTGTTGTTGTTTGCTTTTGTTTTTTGTTGAGACAGAGTCTTGCTTTGTTGCTACAGCTGGAGTGCAGTGGCGTCACCATAGCTCACTGCAGCCTCAAACTTATGGGCTCAGAAGATCCTCCTGCCTCAGCCTCTCAGGTAGCTGGGACTATAGGCACATGCTACCATGCCCAGCTATTTTTTTTTGACACTTCAGTTTCAATTAATTAATTGACAAATATATCTAAATGGTCTTTCTTCTTGAAAATTTACTGGATAAGCCAAAATAAGTTATAAGATCATAAAGATTTGGAGAAGAAAGCATCAAAAAGCAAAACTTTAATGTGAAAATGAAATTCTGTAAGAAATGAACATATACAATGTGAATATAAGAGGATTCTGACCTTTAGGGAGATTTTCATTATCAAATAACATATAATAAATAGCTTTCATCTCAAAGCCTCTTGGGGTCAAATTACCATATCACGCTAAATGTGCAAATTTTTAAAACAAATATTGCATGCAACAACATACCTCAGGGGAGACTTCTGTAATTCCAAACTGGGATAAACTTTGATGCAAAACATTGATATTAAGTGAACGCAGCACTTCCTCAGATGGCAGAGCATCAGAAATTCCTGTTTTTCGGTTTATGGGAGACACAAATAGTTCAACACTGTTCTTCTTTCCCTAGTAAAAGCAGATTATTTGTATGCATTACAGACATTTTGAGCAATTTCCTTTAGAAACATTAAAGAAAATCAGAATCCTAGAATTGTAAAAGGCATCTTGGAGATCACGTTCATTAGTTATTCTCTGGTAGACTTAAAATTTCCAGTGAAACATCTAAAATTTTTAAGTGGTCTGCTTTCAATGAGTTGGCATGCCAAGATTTATAATTTTATATTTCACTGGATGCTGGTTTATTTTCCATTTGATATTGTAGTTTTTTGAAATATATTGAAATTAGTATGTTTAGATGTTCCCTAATTATGTTTGAAGAAGCATTTTAAAATTAAATGAATTAAATAAAACTTACTATAATAGTAAGTTTACATATTAGATACCTCCACTCTCTCTTGTATTAAAATATAAGTTTTTTAATAACTTGTATTAATGTGAAGGCTGGACAAGCTAAGGAAGATGGTGCTAAGTGAGCTTTGAAAACCCTTTCCTGATTCTGTTCTGCACCTCAAATATGTTACACTTTTAAAATCTATCCTTTGGTAGAAATGCATAAGTTGTGTAGTGATATCATGATACTTTTCCTATTAGTATCACCTTATTAGCCGAAATGGAGTCAGAGGATTTCTTACCATAAATGATAGGCTGATATGCTATATACATATACACATAATACACTAGATAATAATGACATTGCCATTGATAATATTGTCTTTTACAACTTATACAATGCACTTGTAGAAGGAATTGTTAGTTTTTTCTTTTTGACACATGGAGTTCTCTCCTGCTGGAAAATTTTCTTTTAACACAATTTATCAGACTTTTAGCCAGGTATATGGTGTATCAATGTACTACTAGCAACCCAGAAAAATGTTTCCGTGTTTGCAGGGAACAATAGACAATGACTAAATACTGATGTGAAACATGTTTATAATAATTTAAATAGTTTATGACCTAATAACAATAGTAGGAACAGAGCACTTGTTTTGTACTTGATATGCTCCTCTGTGCCTTAAATCTGTTACCTCATTTAATGGTCAAAACACCCCCTAGGAGATAGGCATGGTTGCCTCTATTTTATGGTTACTTTATGGTTACCTCTATTTTACAAATGAAATGCATTGGCTTGCCCACAGTCACATAGCTGACACACAGCCACACCGGAAATGGAGTACAGGTCTGTCTGTCTCCAAAACACATGCTTGTGGCTCTTAATCGCTCTGCTGCCTCAGGTATTGTAACTCTACCTATTATTATAACTATGCTACTAACACTTATTATTATTTAACAACGCTACTAACATTCTCCATGCATATCCCTCCCTGGGTGTGGCAAATCTTTCACTCATTCCTGCAAACAACTATCATGCTCATTAAATCTATATGCATAAAAGGATATCTAAGATATATGTATAAATTAGTTTATATTAAAAATTTACGTCTCGATCCAAGACATTTGTAACACCTAAATCTTCTCAACTTGAGCAAGGTATGCCATGGATATAAGTAACCTACTTCACTCTCTCAGGGCATTAGGGAGTGCTATATTTCCTCTTCTGTGGTATTGAGTTAAAATTTTTTAAAAACTTATTTAGTACTAGAACCTTGTTGTCTCACAGAATAAAAGTTTTTATGGGGAATGAAACAACTCACCCTCCAAATACAGAAAAATTAAAAGAAACATAAACCTCAAACCAAGACAAAAACTGGATGCTCTCCATTGCTGGGAGTGCAGAGGTTGACACAGCAGAAGGCCGAGGTCCTGCAAAAGCACCGCAATTTAAGGCAGACAGAATGTGCAGTGCTTGCATGTGCTCCCATTGCAGTGGAAATGAAGAACCCTGTTAAAACTGTACGGTGATTCCAAGTCCCTTTTCACATGTAACTTAGATGACCAGATTTTTACAAAGAGAAAATCATCTGATTTTTTTTTCCTTTTGCTCACACACACCTTCAAGTGCAGATGGGAACATGTATTTGGCTAACATCTGGGTTCCCAAACACAGCAGAAATCAGGTGATTGACAGGTGTAGAGTGATTGACAGGTTTAGAGTGGGCCCTGTACAACAGATCCTTTGGGTTTACCTCATCCCCACTCAAATGCCCATCCTAGTTTTCTCTTGGCTTTTCTAGACTATCAGCTCTTGCATTCCATCTGGGCTGCAGTTCTCAAGGATCAATTTTCCTTTATTCTTTATTCAAAATCCTTTGCCTTGTGCATCAAATGTCCGTCATTCTATGGATATACTTGAAGGGATTTTTATAGATACTGTCTGCAAACAATGCCTTCCCTGGTACAGAAGATTTCACTCTAATGGAGAATATTTTGAGAGTAGTATCAGGTTGGTAAGGCAAGTATTACCATTTTGGGCCCCTTCATGCCCATCAGAGTAGCTAGCCTTGAACTATGACAGAGTTGACAAGCTTTTCCAATCAAGGGCAGAGAGTAATGAGTTTCGGCTTTGTGGGCCAAGCAATCCTTTGTAACTACTGAACTCTCTCTGCCATTGCAGCATAAAAGCAGCTATGGGCAATGTGTAAATGAGTGGATGTGGCTTTTTCCATAAGACATCACTTTCCAAAAGAGGTGGTATGCCACATACCACCAGCCATAGAACTATAGCATGAGTCCTTCAGTGATAAAAAACACAGCTTGGATTTGGGGGTTATGAAATGTAGGCATCTTACAATGAGGCGATTGATGTGCACTTGCTGGGGTAAGAGTCCTAACGCTGCAGCCACTCCTTGGCGGAATATCCGAAGCAAGGTTATGTTCAGCTTGTTTACATCCATTTGTAGTGTCTGGAAAATAAAGACAAAAAGAAATCCAAGTTATAGTAAGTTTTCTGTTTTAGGACATTCAGTTCTTGACCGATGATTGACCACAGCAATTTCTGTGACTCTGGTAAGTTCACACTCACAGTGCTTTATTTTATTTTTGATAGAAATAAAATTATAGAGACATTTTATGTGAAATTTTATTTTTATTTTTTTAATTTTTAAAGACAGGGTCTCGTTCTGTCACCCAGGCTGGAGAGCAGCGATGTGATTATAGCTCACTGTAACCTCAAACTCCTGGGCTCAAACGATCCTCCTGCTTCAACCTCCTGAGTAGTAGGGACTACAGGTGCATGTCACCATGCCTGGCTAATGTTTTTACTTTTTGTAGAGACAAAGTTGTGCTATGTTGCTCAGGCTGGTCTCAAACTCCTGACCTCAAGCAACTCTCCCACGTCGGCCTCTTAAAGTGCTGGGATTATAGCCATTAGCCACTGTGCCTGCCTTAGGTGAAATTTTAAATGGTATTAGTTAAAAAGATGGTATATTATATGATAATGCAAATTGTCTAGTTCAACAAAAAACACAAATGAATGGTCAATTCATAAAGAATTTCATTGAGATGTGTCTTGATTTATTTTGCCTTAGTTTAGATCCAGATGACAGAATGGAATCTGTGGCCAAGTATATTCAGTTATCCATCTTTAATTTGTGTTCACACACAGTCACAGAGAGAAAGATGCTGTGTGAGTTCCATAAGGCCTGTCTTGGCAGTTTCTTTATATAGTAATCTGCTGCCAGTGCAAGGCAAAAGAATGAGGTGCGATACTGCATTTTCAATCTCTGGTGAAGAAGCCAGTGGTACTGATGAGTTGCTCTAAAGTAAACGCTCCTTATTCAGTTGTTTGGGGAAATACTCTTAACTTTCAGATTTGCTTTGGAAAAAAATATAAATATTAAAAATTCCTAATGTACAAATCAAATTGTGTTATTAGTAGAGTCTTAATTTAAACCATGAGTACTATTACTACACTTAAGCCATGAAGTAAATTATCATGTATTTTAAAAAATGCAATCATTTGAGATAGATACTTGCAAAGTAAACCAAATCTTTATGCACTTCTTTTATTCCTGTAATGCTTAATTCACTAAATTGACTATTCTAGGCTATCAAAACTATTGGATGGCTGCAGTATCAGCTATTCTACAAAGTAAGGCACACTTTTTTTCTTATTTTTTAAAATTTTAAATTATTATGGGTATATAGTAGCTGTATATCATTATAGTGTATATGTGATGTTTTGATACAGAAATACTATGTGAATTAATAAAATAAGGGTATTGGGGTATCCATCACCTCAGGCATTTATCATTTCTTTGTGTTAGGAACATTTCAATTCCACTCTTTCAGTTACTTTAAAGTATACTCTTATTGTTGATTACACTTTGCTGTGCTATCAATTATTGTTCATTGTCTATCTATATTTTTGCACCCATTAACCATTCCCTACTTTATCCCCTGCTCTCTCCACTACCCTTTCCAGCCTCTAATAACCCATCATTCTACTCTCTGTCTCCATGATATCAGTGGCTTTTAATATTTAACTTCTACATATGAGTGAGAACACATGAGATTTGTCTTTCTGAGCTTGGCTTATTTCACTTAACATAACATTCCCCATGTTGCAAAAGGCAGTATTTCATTCTTTTTCTGTTGCTATATAATATTCCATTGTGTATATGTACCACAATTTCTTTATCTACTCAACTGTTGATGGATACTTAGATTGATTCCAAATCTTGGCTATTGTGAATAGTGCTGCAATAACATGGCAGCACAGATATCTGCATTCCTCTCCTGTGGATACATACCCAGGAATAGGATTGGTAGTTCATATAGTGGTTCTGTTTGTAGTTTTCTGAGGAACCTCCATACTGTTTTCCATAGTGGTTGCACTAATTTACATTCCCACCAAGAGGTACAAGGGTTCCCCTTTCTCCACATGCAAGGCACACTTCTAAGTACTCACTTCTCTGATAAAGAGATTGGCTTACAAGTGCAATATATTATAGAGTAGGAACCTTTAGAGGGACTTCTCTCAGCTTGCTTTAAAGGGAGAATGATACTACTTTGGAAATTTATAGTCTTGTTAGGAGATAACACCTCTTCTATTTTGTCCTTTAAGTTGGTACAAAATAAGTGACTGGAAACTGAAATAAAGTGATCAATGCTACAGGAATCAAAGGGAGTCTAGGAGGTCAAAAGAGGTATAATGGCTCCTAGTCAAGACAGTGGGTCCAATTAAAGATTCAGGCTGCATTTCTGCCTTAGGCCTTTTAAGGATTGCATGGAGGTGGGAGCCCTGAGGTTTGGTCATATTAGGGGACTGGAAATGGACTCCTTGTAAAAAATTAAGATCCAGAAAAGGGCAGAAGCATTGAAGAACTCTACCTGACATCCCAACAATAGGCAACAACTTGGTTCTGGGGAGGAGAATATAATTATGTTGGGGGTAGGTAGAAAAGCTGTGTCAATACCATCAGTAACACTTAAAAAAATTTTAATTTATTTTTATTTTCTTTTTTTTCACTTAAAACAACAGAAATTTATTGTCTCGTGTTTCTAGCGTCTTAATCAAAGCATCAGCAAGGCCATGCTCCCTCTTAAATCTGTCGGGGAGTGTCCTTCCTTGTGTCTTCTACCTTTGGGAGTTTGCCAGGCATTTTTGGTATTCCTTAGTCTGCAGATGCATCGCTCCAGTTTTTGCATCTGTCATCTCATGGCTCCCTTCTCTCTGTGTCTTCATATCATCTTCTCTCTGTGAGAGTCTGTGTCCAAATTTTCCCTTTTTAAGGGGCATCAGTCCTATTGCATTCAAAGTCCACCTTCCTTCACTATGACCTCATCTCAACTAATTATACCTCCAACAACCCTATTTCCAAACAAAATCACAGTTTTCAGATACTGGGAGGTTAGAACTTCAACATATAAGAATTTTGGGGGGACCCAATTCAACCCATAGCAAACAGAGAGTCAGAATTCCGAGGAAAGAGATTGCTAACTTATAGCCAGAGAATGGACCAAAACCCCGGTAATTTTGCAGGTTCTCCTCTGTTTTCTTTCAGGCTCTGAGTCAATACAAATTAGAAGTTCAACTAGGTCACAGGGTTACTCATCCCTGGTTGGAGCGGTCGGAGAGCTGTTTGGGAGGCTGGGGAGGCCCAGCAGATGTGTGTCCTATTCCAGAGGTGGTTGGCATGTGGGGCTTATTCTGGGTGAGGGCAGTGGTGAGGTCTGGGTGAGCCAACGAAAGAGGTAGATGAATCCAGTCACAAGTTGAACAGGACATTTCTGCTCCAGATTCACTTCCCAGCATGTCACAGAAAACAATTCCTACTGGATCTGGGGAAAGTGACTTCTTTCAATACAATGTGACTTCCTTCTTACAGAGAGTAATTTTTTTTATTAAATAAAAATTATCTAATGATATACAAGTGTTTGCTACATTGTTCTGTGCACTTCTCTATAGCCTAAAAAGGCATCCAATATATAAAAACATAGTTTAATGCAGAAAGTAAGACTTGAGCTCAACCTTGAAGTATGAGTAGGATTTGAAAATGCAGCGATGAGGAAAAGAGCATTTTACTTTTAAGGACGATTTATGCATCCACCTGGAAGACCTAGGAGATTAGCAAAACGCAGCCCACTTCGTGGCTCTGAGAACTAGAAATGTCCTCTTATCTGGTGGCCTGGTTTCAGCTTTGCCAGCTGTAGAGGCGGCCATCAGAGATGGAACACAGTAAGAGACTCTGTCTATTCCTCCTCTTTTGCAAAACCAAAGATTGGTTCCTCAGTCCCCTCAAAGACTGCTGAGGAACCACTGACTCTTGGCTCACCAGCAGTGTTTGTCATCAGAGTGAGCTGGCAGGCACTGCCTCTGATCTCCAGGGGCAGGATTTGGAGCCAAGAGTCAAGGGGGTTGTGTGTGCACTTGAGAATTCAATTCCCAGGGCCATGATTAACTTGAGGCTTGTAACTGTGGAAACAGTATTAAAGTCTCAGATTGAAATGGTAAATGGGAAGTGAAATGGGAACTCAATATTTAAAAAAAAAATCACTCAAAAAGGCAACTTTGCAAGAATGTAAAAGCTGTGCATTTGAAACAGAAATTTAGACTTACTCAACTCTAGCAAAGAAGTGAGTTGAAGTAATTAGTTGAAATTGAAATCATCTGGTTCATTGCATCAAAACATTTGAATAATTTTTTTCAGTTCTCTGCTTGCCTGTGAAAAGCTGGATTGATTCCATAGTGCGTACATGGATTGCTGACTATTCCCCAGAAAATAGTGATGCTAAAATACAGTACAAACAGAGATTTGAGGGCCTGATATGTGCCAGACATTACATATGAGTACAATTTGAGGGAGAAAAAAGGATTCTAGACAAAAATGAGAATTTTATTTCAGGCAAAACCTGTTAGGCCGGGGGTTGGATCAGCAAATCATTTTTAGGAATAAAAGCCAAAGGTTCACTGTTTACATCTTTGACTTGAATAGAAAACCCTGACCTGTAAAAGACATTTTATACTTTCACCCCATCCCTTCTCATAACTCTCTGCATCTGTCTTCTGCTGTTATTTACAGACTGTGATTTTTATTTCCATATTTCATGGTCTTACCCTTCTCAGAATCTTACACCTGCTTCCTTCTACTGGAATGTTCCACTTACACTTCAAACTCAGTATTACCCACACTGAGCTTACCTTTCTCCCTCTCCCCATCCACAACCAAATTTGCTTCTCTTCTTATATTTCATACAATGGGATAAAGTGTCATATTTGAGAGTCATCTGGACTCCTCTTTCCTAATTCTTCACTCCACATCTATATCTCGGCATGTTGAACCCACCTTCTTTGCATCTATATTTCCACTGTCTTATTAATAGTTCAGATCACTCTGACTATCTCGACTATTTGAATAGAATATTAATGGGTTGCCAAGTTTTCATGGTTTCTAAATCATTT